CTCAGTTCCCACTCTTCCTTAGAAGGCTTCTTCCCTGCCATCCCCATCTTGAACTCTGTACCTGTGCTCTGTCTTTTGCAACCTATGTAGCTCACCCCAGCTCGCCCTTCCCCAACTAGAATGCCCAACGCTCCATGTGATCACACGCAGCCCAGGGGCTGGCACAGCCTCCATCTCCTCCATGATGTCCCCTGTCCCCCGTTCCCTGCTCCAATAAAACCGAAGCCAGCATTGATCTCTCTCCTTTCTAATAGTACCTGCATTTTGTCACTTTCTGGTATTTAGTATTTAATTGCTATTAGTTTTGAAAATTCAACTTTGCAGGACATTTTCAGTGTACAAAGAACTCTCATATATATTATTATTATTTGACTTTCACAACTACACTGAATGGTGAGGGAAGTTGATGTTATTATCACTGTCTTCCCATCTTACAGACCAGGAGCCTGAGTTTCATAAAGCTCTGCAACTTGCCCTATCACTTGGATAAGCAGAGCAGGCCTTCAGTGCTCTAAGGTTCACGAAGAAACTCTTTTAGGATAAGAACCAGTTCGTACACTTCTTTTTCCCTCTAGCACTATGTCAGTTAAATAGTAAATGCTTAACTAATACTTCTTGACATGAGATCTACATGCAACTACAGGAAAAATCATTCAAATGGCATATTTCATTTATGCAAACAATTGTTAGTGCTATTAGCCTCTTCATGTATACAGAACAATATGCTTGCAGCGTTATTTTTATTATAGGGACTCAGTAAAGAACCTAAGGCAGACACACACATTTTATACAAAGCTCTCCCAGCCCCAGAGGTCAAGCAGAAGGCAGCCACAAATGTAGGTGCTATTCCCTCTGCTCACGCTGAAGGTGCTGCCCCACTGCCTCCTGGCAGTGGATGGAATGTGCTTGTCAGAACTTGCTCACCAGAGTGGACATGCCTGGCTAGCCCTTGGAAACCTGGGGTCATTTGTGCACATGGAGGATTCAAGTCACCCAGCAGCGGGCCTCGGCTCCACTACACAAGTAGGTGAAAGGGCTGGCCTGGTCGTGGAGCGGCTTTAGGGGTGGTCTCCATCCAGCCATTCTGGGTTGGAGGCAGGAAGACCTCCCAACATTGAAGCAAATTTCCCAAGAATTTCAGGCCACTTTGACTACCTGGCAGAATTGAGGAGTGACTTTTTTTTTGCCACACCCCTGCAACGGTGGGGAATAATACTAATTATGACTCTAAATATTTGTAGAGTTCTTAACAGTCCAGACACATATTACATGCACTATATGCTTTTGCCAAAGGCCGCTGTGAGCAGGTACTCACTTCCAGTTGCTGGTTTAATTTAGGAAGTGTGTGCACGTGATCAGACATTCTGAATGGTACCAACGGAATGAGAGAAAAGTCAGTCTCCCTTCTAGCACTGGCCCCCAGTTTCCCTCCAAAGAGGTAATACATGCTAGCATTTTCTTGTGTATTCTTCTAGATTTTTCACCATTTTGGAGTTGAAGAAACTGAGACTCAAAGTGGCTGAGTGACCTTCCCAAGCACACACACTGAGTGAATCATACTTGCTTCTCATTCCTCATTTAGCTTCCTCTGCACTCAAACTACCCCTTAGCCAAGCATTTGGCTCCGAGGGCAAGTTATGAGAATGTAAACAAGTAAAATCAAAAATAAAAGTCAAAGCCAGAACAGGAGGCCTGGGCCCCACAGACTCTCCATTGAGAAGCATAACTGCCTACCCCTGTTAGGCACTATAAGGACATCCACTTTCTTCTCTGGCTGCTCTAGGCCAACTGCCATCCATAGGGCATCTTCTGCCTTCTAACTGTCATGCGCAGGGTCTAACTTTCAGGCTGTTTTGCTCTATCAAAGCATTCCCACCTAACATCTTATTTCTTCAAGACCCTGATACTTTGAGGGTTGGTCTGATAAAAAAATGTATCTGGGCTGCTAGGGGGAGATAAAACCTAAAGACTGGTGTACAACCTGCAGACAGCTCAGTCCTGAGGCCACGCCATGGAGAGCCCAAAGACAAGGGTTGAGTTCCCTGGCCTCTCCCACCACCCCACCCACCTCCCAGTGGCCTTAACTGCTTTCCAGAGCATCTCCCACAAAGCCTTGAGGTCTCCAGGCATGGATGGCGCAGGTGGTGGATGGGGAGGAATAAGGAGATAAGGCTGAGGGAACCCTGTGTCTAGGGGAGTAAATATAGGACACCCCTACAATCCCCAGCTTAAACAGTTTCTTCCATACATACTCCCAATTCAAGTATTTGCAATACCTACAGTCTCCTTTGGGAAGGGCGTTTCAAGGACGGAGAAGAAAATGTTTGGGCATGCTGAGGGCATCAGGAAAGAGGTGACAGCTGTTCTTAGGGACAATATCTTCACAGAGGCAACTAAAGCTACATGTAATGAGACTAAGCATATGTCATCTGTATCAAAGAAAGAAGTTGCTGCAGCAAAAAAAAAAAAAAAAAGGAAAAAAGCATGCTACTTACACGACACTGGGGATGGGTACTCAGTATTTTCACTCATTCATACATGTCCTCTGCATTCATCAACCAGTATTTACCAAAACCATTAAAAAAAAAGAAAACTCCCTGCAACATTAGGAATGCAGATTTAACCCCATGCACAGAGGAAGTACAGGTTCATCCTCAGACACATGAACTCCGCTGCACAGCTCGCCCTCTGGGGCGGAGGCTGCAATCGAAAGCCTGGTAAATCTGAAATTCACCACACTGAATATTCCACAGAGGTGAGTTATTATTGGAATAAGAATATTTATGCTTACTTCCTCTATGATCTGATCTTTGCATTTTAAGCCTTAATATTGCAGTAAGGTAGCTTTTGGTTTTTAATTGCCCTGAAATTTTGTTAACATTAAATGAAGGGACAAAATGGAAAGGAAAATAGAACCATATCTGTATCATTTTTGAGTTGCCTAATTGTACATTTTTACCACTCCATTAGTTTTCAGCTATTCCAGCCTATAAATGTCTCCCCCACCACCACTGAGAAAAATAAATATGTCAGTCATTCTGTTATTGCCACAAAGTTTGCAGAACTCTTAAATTCCTGTCTCTAGTATTAAAGAGAGTTATGCAACTTTTAATTACCACCTGTGTGGGAGACCCTGAATGACACAAGTGTTTGGTTGTTCTCATGCTTTTTCAAAAAACAGTTTTCCCTCCAAGAGGATATGACGTTTGAACACTTAAGCATCAGTGATTGGAGTCGGCCAGAAGCAGAGGTTTCCCTTTGTTTGTGGAACAGAAACGGCAACACCCAGCTCAACCGCTCCTAACTCACAGATGACCTCAGAGCCTCAGCTTCTGGCTCTCCAAAAATAAAACTTCACCTAGACACTTTACCACACCCACAAACACTGGCTCCAAAATCCTCACCAAACAATTTTGAAAAGTGAAAAGGAGAACTGTATAACCAAGATATTTCACTGTAACCATGGCTACAGGTTCTATTAGCACTAATACCAGGATGTGGTCAGATCATGTACATATATGTACAGATGACAAAGATAATGTGAGTGTTATGAGTTCCCCTATGAATTCTCTACATTGGAAATGTAACTCCTAATAACTATGATTCATAAAAGACTCGGGGAAAGGCAGGGGATAGGAGGGTGGAGGACTGCATCAGTAAGAGAAGCTCAGTGTTCTGCCTGGAGCTTTAATTCAAACTTTTAATATAATCCCCTAAAACACCACTACCTTGCATTGAGATTGCAATTTTCCTTGCCCAGTGTTCTTCCACATGTCTTGTCTGTTCTTCACAATAATCTTGAGAGATATCCGGGATGGGTAATCACCTCATTTCTCAGATGAGGAAAGGGCTCAGAAAGCTTACTGATTTCGCCCAAGGTCAGAGGCCTAGAGGACAAGTGAATTGGGACTGGGAGAGGATCCTCTGACTCCTCGCTTAATATTCTTCGCATTGCACCCTTGGGTCAGCTGTTTGTATTGTGCCCCGGGGGCATTTTGAGATGCATTAATTCCTCTTGCAAACATCCCTCATCCTTATCATTTGTCTGACTAACCACAGATCACAATCAGTCCATCAAACTGTAGATTACAGCTGCTATGTGAGGCTTGCCTTTTGTGCTAATTTATATTCTTTAAGCGCCCTGCATGGCTCTCCTCTACAAAGATGACAGCACAGAGAATGTGTACCATAGTCCCTACTCCTGAGGGAGTTTATAATCCAGGGGAGGTGAGCTTAAAATGCTCATAGGGACCGGGCAGGTGAATAGGATGGGGACTGGAGTGTGGGGTGGGGGAATGGAAAGAACATGGGCCCTTTTAAAGCTCCAGCAGATTGTGGCCATGTGAGAGGTTAGTGTGGCCGAATCTTAGGACTAGCTGAAGATTGAGAATTTGATGTGAAACCGAAGGAAGCAGAAAAATAATAGGAAGTAAAAGTGCCTGTGGGTTGGATATAGCTCTCAGACTGCTAGTAAGTGCTGTACATACTCAACGGTGTTTCATGCCTTAGGGCCCAGCGTATTTGGGGTTATGTGTGTTATACATATGATGTTGTATTACACTTCTCTTCGACATGTTTGGTCCTATTAAAACATGAGCTCCTTGAGGTCACAGAAAGCATATGAATCAAGAGTGCACCCACAGGGTGTGACGCACGTGGCAGGCTTTTACATGTTGATGGATGAATAATTAAGTGAACACCCCATCATCTTTGAAGATCCAGAAATTAAAGTCCTCAGCATTCTGAGAATGGTGGTTACAGCAGGATCTTTGGACTCAGAGAGGACTAGCATCAAACCTCTTTCTGCACTTCAGTAGCTCCATGTCTTTGGGCAAATCACTTAGTCTCTCATAGCCTCAGTTTCCTTATCTGTAGAATGGGCATAGAAAAAGCCTACCCTTTGAATTACTGAATGAGACCATGTCTGTAAACCCTTGATTCCACACACAGAGTTGCACACTTAGTAAGAACTCAGCAAATGTGGCTTTTTTCTTCAACAGATCATTCCCACTGCTGTGAAAGGTGATGAGACTGTTGCCAACCCTCTGTTTTGAGGTTTTGGCCTCCTGAAGTATCTAAGTCAAAAGAGGACTTTCAAAAGAAAACAGGTGAGTATTCTAGCTGAAATGGAGAGAAGAAAATTGATAGTGATGGACAATACAAGGCTCCCCTAAGAAATGCAATCCTGGAGGTCAGGAGGGCTGAAAGAGGGAGAAGCAGCTGGGAGTGAATGGAAATAAAGTTTGCAGGAAAGCAGGGGAGAGGCAAAGGTGGCTGCCCTGATTCCCTAGGAGTTGCTTAACTCACTCTCTATGCCAATTCAGTGAAAAGCTGACCAAACTCTAATTAGAGCAAAATAATTCTCTCACAAATGGATGTTTTCACCTTTCATGTACGTGAATAGTATCATAAATACGGTGCTTCACAGTTGTCAAGGCAATTTTAAGGCACCCACTGTATGACATATATTTACACAACATGCTTCACACACATTATCTCATTTATTCTGTCCAGCAATGTATTAATTCATTTATCCATGCAGCAAGTACTTACTGCCAGCCCACTTTCTACCAGGCCCTGGGTACCAGATACTGAAAGTAAAATGATATAACAGTGAATTAGGTACCTAACCCTCTGCGAAATATGCTCATATCTTTGTTTACAGAAGAATAAACTGAAAAAGCACTTAAGTGAATGTTTCCCAGACCCCACACCATGTTAGTGGTAGAGGCAGATTTTTTTGTCTTTTTAATTTATTTTGGAGGCAAAGTCTCACTCTGTCACCCAGGCTGGAGGGCAGAGATGCAATCACCGTATCCTCAAACTGCTGGGCTCAAGCAATCTTCCTGCCTTAGCCTCCTGGAACTACAGGCATGTGCTATCACACCTGGTTAATTTTTTCAATTTTTATTTTTGTGGAGATAGGGTCTTGCTATGTTGCCCATGCCAGCAAAATTCTTGAGTACAAGTTGTCTGGCATATAAGAAGAAAAATTCGGAAATTTCCTTGATCATGAGGAGATAAATATGAGGTTGACTTGCTAACAGACTGGAGATATTGTATTCGCTCACATTTAGTACAGTTGGAATTTTCAGAGAATCAGACATAATTTCTCATGATTAATCCTAAGGGTAATATGAAGAGAACTAACTATTCTTAGAGCATATAGCCTGGACCCTTTGGAGACAAGGTAATTAAAGATGAGAAGAGAGAAAAGGAAGGAAAGAGGAAAGGGAAAATTGTAAAGAAGAATAAAGGAGATCAAGATTCCAGACCGTCCATAATAGAAAATCAAAGAAAGTCCAATGAAGCCTTTTTAAAATTCTTTTCATTGCTCTTAAATTATTCTCTAATTATTTCCCTGGTATCATCCTTGAGACAAGAGAGGATGTCTTTTACCTTCCCCGTATTTCCTAGCATGTCTTAATTAATACTTGATTGACTGAAAGATTGACTCATTTGAACCCAAAGTGAAATGGAGCTTTTCAATTTTCTTTTCTGCTGAACCTGAAATAGAGCATACAGTAATTAGGAAAGAATCCCTTGTTATCAGGAAGTCCCAACTACAATGGGCTCTTTGTAACTGAGCAAAAAGAAGGTAGGTGATTATTCAGGAGCTGATAAAACACTCACCCCTGCCCTAACTTTCTACTGCCTTCAGTGATAGATTTTCTTGATCATTATTTCTTCCTCCAGTGAGTTTTTATGGCTGGAAGATCTGGCTGAACAATGCAATCTCCGGGTGGGTAATTATCAAAGTCCAGCCACGGTATGACTGATGGTCACTTCTCTATGCCCTTTGGTGCTTCTGCTCTTTCTCCCCAGTGACCTGGTTTGGCTGATGGATGATTATTTAGGGTCTCAGTTTTGTTTATTTTTTTTTGGAACCCTTTAATTAAGTTCATTCATTCATTCAGCTGCATCCCAGAACTTGGGCATCCAAACAGAATTTGACAGGCAGGGCCCTGCTCTCATGGAGCTTATATTCCAGTGGAGGAAGACAGGCAGTAAACATGGAAACCACATGACAGCAGCATTCTAAGTGACTGAGCAATTTCAAAGTGAGGAGTATCACCAAGGCAGTAGGGCAGGATGGTGGGGTAGGGGTTGGCTAGGGGTTGGGCTGCATTGGATTACCATATTCCATTAGAAAAGGCCTCCTGGATGAGGTAACATGGGAGGAAATTTGTATGAAAGTGTATTTGAGCTGATGCAAATGTTGTGAAGCAGTCACACCATGATCTGAGGAAAACCATACCAGGCAGAGGGACAAATAGGGTCCTGAGCGAGTGGACAGTCCAGGAGTGGGTGTGTCCAGGCCACAGTGAATGGGAGAGAAGACAGTACCAGAGGAGGTCCAGAAGGAGGCAGGGGCCAGACGATGGCAGGGCCTGGGGATATGAGAAGGAGTTTAGATGTCATTCTTCTAGTGACGGGAAGCCATGAGGCATGAGCAGAGCTAGGGGGTGACGTGACCTGGCTCTAGTGGGGAGAACAGGCCGCAGTGAGGGAGAAGCAGAACCAAAGAGATTGGTTAGGAAGCTGCTGCGGTAATCCAGGTGAGAGGCAGCGACGGCCTGGCCATGGAAACGGTAGGAAGTGGATGGAGTCAGGACATATTTGAGAGAGAGAGAGATGGCAGATAGGACCAGCTGATGAGGTAGGGATGGGGAGGTAAAGCCCAGGAGGGAAGCTTAGTCCAAGTGTTAAAAGAATACATTCATTTCTTCCATATTTATTAGCACCTATTATGTGATAAACAGCTAGGGTGGTGAGGGTGGTGGAGGAAGGTGAGGCTGGGGTAATAGGAGGGTGAGATTGCCAGTGAGGAGTCCTCCTTGCTAAGGAGTTGTGATCATCATACAAGTGGTGAGCAGCCAAGTGAGCGCTACGCAGGGAGTGCAAGGTCTACGAGGGTTACGCAGGGAGGAGTGCCAGGGTTACGCAGGGAGGAGTGCCAGGGTTACGCAGGGAGGAGTCCGAGGGTTACGCAGGGAGTGCGAAGGCTAGCAGGGAGGAGTCCGAGGGTTACGCAGGGAGTGCGAGGGCTACGAGGGTTACGCAGGGAGTGCGAGGGTTACGCACGGAGGAGTGCCAGGGTTACGCAGGGAGGAGTGCCAGGGTTACGCAGGGAGGAGTCCGAGGGTTACGCAGGGAGGAGTCCGAGGGTTACGCAGGGAGGAGTCCGAGGGTTACGCAGGGAGTGCGAGGGCTAGCAGGGAGGAGTGCGAGGGCTAGCAGGGAGGAGTGCGAGGGTTACGCAGGGAGGAGTGCCAGGGTTACGCAGGGAGGAGTCCGAGGGTTACGCAGGGAGTGCGAGGGCTAGCAGGGAGGAGTGCGAGGGTTACGCAGGGAGAGGAGTGCGAGGGTTACGCAGGGAGAGGAGTGCGAGGGTTACGCAGGGAGAGGAGGGCCAGGGCTATGCAGGGAGAGTGCGAGGGCTAGCAGGGAGTGCGAATAACTTTCGAATTTTAGAAAGACGAAAGAAGGAAAAACCAGAGGCCATTTGAAGGCCTGGACAAATGAGGTAACAGTGGGATGAGGGGAAGGCACCCTTCTGTGCCTTTCCATACCCGCAGGGCCCAGGCCCCCCTGGCTTAAGCCCTGCTTTGCTTCCGATGCTCACCACAGTCCAGACGCACTGGCTGCCCTCTCTCACGGATGTGCCATGCCCTTTCCCACTTAAGAGCCTTCGCCCTTCATGTTCCTGCTACCGGAGTTCCTGCCTTTAGCGCTGTGCACACCTGGTCCTCGTCACCCCACAATCTTAGTTCAGAGTCACCTCTGCAGAGACCACTCCAGTTATTTCCTTTATAGCACTAACATGTATACTTTCCACCTGGAGAAGAGAGATAGTAACAAGTGCACAAACAGAATGTCTGTCTCATGCACGACTATACCCACAGTGCCAGCGCAGAAACTGACACATCCTGGGAGCTCATTAAATACACTGGTGGAAGGAAGAAGGGAAAGTTGGAAAAGACAAAAGGGCAGTTTGGTGTGGGGGGTAAGGAGGGAGATTTCTGTGTCCTACTCCACACAATCTTGGGGGATCCCGGCAGAGAGGGGAAGGAACTGTATCTAAACCCTTATAATTCAGCTCCTGAGTGATACTCATCCATATTTTAATTCTGAAATGGTCTCTTTAAAAGAGAATGATGAAGGAACTAATTTAGTTTACCACAGGAAAACTAGAGAAAATGGAAAATGCCTTATAAAGGAGACCTACATAATCAAAGTCACAACTCCAGAACCATCCCACATTTGAAAAAGACAAACAAAACTAGCGTTAGCTAAAGAGTCAAGGGATGTTGACTTTGGCCAGCCTATTTGTTTGGGATCAAACAATCAGGACTAACTTTTATTGCCAGGCAAGACTCTGAGGCACTCCACTTCTGCTGACTCATTTCATTCTCACAACATCCTATCAATGCCATTCTGCAAATGAGAAAACCGAGCCCCAGAGAGAGAGGTTGACCTGCCCAGTATGATACAGCTAGTGAGTGGCAGAGCCAGAATTCGGACCCAGGATATTTGGTCCCAGAAACACTGCTCAAAAGCACAAAAGTAAACCCCTCTTGGGCCAAAGCTGCCCTACAGGAGAGTTATCAAACACATTGCACATTTGTTATAAGCAAATCATTCTAGGGATTATGTAGGCAATGGTAATTCATAATCATTATCAACATCAGCTTTTTTGTCACTTGTATTAGGCAGGATAGGCTAACTACTGTAGCAGAAAATCCCCAAATCTCAGTGGCTTCGCCCAGCAAAAGTTTATTCTAACTCATTTCACTGTTCACTGTGGGCAGCAGGGGTGCTGTGCTCCACGCCGTCATTCAGGAACACCTTCCATCTCTGCCGTCCCCAGGGCTCTGAGTCCCCCAGATGCTCTGCACCTGGCCAGCCAATGAGCAAGCAGAGAGAGAACAGGGAGAACCCAGGAGTAGATTTTAGGAGCCACATTCCCTTGGCCAGAACTCAGTCGCATGGCCCCGCAGAGACATAAGGGACTGAGAAGTGTGGTCTCATTTGTGCTCAGAAAGAAAGGGTGGTGGGCATCTTGCAAAGCGTGGTATCAATGCTTAGTTTTAAGGAATTTTGTAGGAGAGACCTGGTAGGAAGGTAATCTGGCCTCAGAAGACATTGGTTCTGTCCCTGTCTCTACTAGTCACTAGCTGACTGATCTCCTATAAGATATAGCCTCTTCAGTCCCAGATTTCCCGTCAATAAAGTAAGGTAATCAACCAGATGGCCCATTTCAGGATTCTTCTAATCCCAGAATGTTTACATGATAAAACATCGTTTTATTATCTTTAATAACCATGGTGCCTTAATCATTTTTCTACTGATGCTCTATTTGAGCTTTTGTTCAAAATTGCAACCATAATTATAACATCAATTCTGAGGGAAACTACTATTTCCCTTTAATACTCAATATCTAGCTACGCATCATATATACTCTGGGGGGGAAAAGAGCTTCCGACTTTGTATTAGGACTAGTTATTTGAAGCAATTCATTAAATTGGGAAAAATGTAGATACCTATTTTAAAATGCCTAGAGCTGGATCTAAGTTATAATAAACGTAATGTTCTACAAGCAGATCATTTGCTGTGATCAGACCATTTTTATACAAAATAGTACTTACATCTGTTAGAGGGCACCTGAGCCAAGAAAATATATATCTGGAACAGCCAAGTTAATAACTACTGACTGAGGTTCCACTCCGTGCCCTCACAGCCAGAAAGCCTTGGTTTCTTAAGTGTGTGATATTATCGTAACCACAGGGATTTTGCAAGGCAGTATGGTTTGAGAGCTGGGGCAAGGTTTGGACAGGCAGGGTGGAGAGGGCGGGGGCTGAATAAGATGTTTTAAACCCTCAGGAGAGATGGTGGGGAGCCAGGTAGAGACTGATGGTTTTGTTTTGGAAAAAATATATATATATATACATATACATTCCAGATTCAGAGACCTCATAGGAGACTAGTGTTAGAAGAAGGAAAGTTGGGCACACCCAGGTACACTTCCTCTTGTGTCCCTCTGCCTCTGCCTGAGAGTTCTCCCACCCAAGTCACCTGGAAAACACCTGAGCCACACCCCCATCCCGCCCTTTCCAGCCATCATCACTCTCAGCCCAGCTGCCACTTACCCTGGACAGCTGTGATCACCTCCTCCCTCTACACCCTCTCCCATATGTCCTCTCACACCTCAGTGAGAGTGTTCTTTCTGAAACACACATTAATTATGTCCCCTTCTTGCTTAAAACCCCGTGGCTGTCACAGCACACTCTTGCCCTCCACATGGCTTACAAGGTCCTGTGGTATGGGCCTGCCATTCATGGGCCCCGCCATCCACCCTCACCCCCACCACTGCTCCTGTCAGCTACACTGTCCTTTCGGGTCCTTTTCAGGGACAGCAATGGGTCTAATTTGTTCACCTAATAAAAAGCACAACACATGTATTATTTGCCTATATTTCCAGACTTCGGGGGACACTTTACAGTGTATTAACAATTGAACTCATTTCTTTAAATTGAGAGAGCTTCACCTGAAAAGGTACTGGCAGGTTGAAGAAAAGCCTATCAAGCATATTACTTGGAAATGCTTTTAAATCAGTTTGTGTTTCAAGACTTTTCAGACACCCTACACTGTGTGTTTGCTGTTTTTGTCATTCAGATCTTAGCTCAGTCATCCCTCGTCAGAGCCCTCCTGACCTCCCTGTTACCCCTTTCATAGCGTCATGGGGTCTTGTTCATGGCACTCACCGTAATTTCGCTTTCACACCTGTCTGTATCATTCTTTAATGAATACTTGCCTCAGTTCCCACACTAGGCTTGGAGCATGGAAAGGACCGGAATCTGATTTGCTTGTCCTGGATACACAGTTCCCAGCAGAAGTAGGTGCTCAGTACTTAGTCACTGCATGATGCCTGCTCAGACACCCATCCTGATGGTCGTTTCCTTTCATCACCTTCCCTCAGTCCCCTCCAGGCAGGACTAATGGCTGCTTCTGCCGTGCTGCCCCCACATCCCCCTACATAGAACCTGACCACGGAACTCAGCACACTGTACTTCTATGTTTGTTTCTCCCCCTTGCCAGACTGGGCGGTTATCAGGATCTGAATGCACAGGGCCGGTGTTCAGCAAACATTTACTACGTTGAACGTGACCTCCAGGAAAGCAGTTCTGGCCCAGATCCCCTGACTACACAGAGGAAGAATTAACGTGGAAGGAGGCTTTCCAAGCAGGCCATTGTGCTGCTGTGTGTGGAGGTAAACTTCTTCCCCCTTCTCCTCACCCATGAGTCATTCCCTCATTTAGCACGTGGCTCCTGTGCTTAGATGGAGGTCGGCTGCTCAACTTGCTTATGCAATGGTTCTCAAGCCTGACAATAGTCCAGAAACACTTGGGTTGCTTGCTACAAACATAAATTCCTGGGCCCATCCCAGACCGACTGAATCAGAGTCTCCAGGAACGGGATGCAGGAATCTGTATTTTTAACTCCTTAAATGACTCTTCTTAGCCAACAGTTCATCCTGCTGGTACCTAGGATCCTCGAGCAGAGGAGCTAAAGCAAGCACAGTGATCAGCGCAACTCAAGGCAGAAAGCTCAGTGAAACTGTTTGAGCAAAGGCCCAAGGAGAGGTTTTTGCTCCCAACTGTCAGTTATAAAATGGCCCCCCACACAAATCCAGGAGTCGGCAGCAGCAGCAGAGGGGCCTCTTAAGGTTCTCATAGAGAACTGAACGCTCCACCTCCCCCTACAAGAAGGCTGACGCTTTGTGCCTTTTGGAGATCACGCTGGAGTTGCTCTCAGGGATTCTAACTGGGTGCCAATGTGACTCTTATTATTAACCTTTCCAGAAAGTATTTACTGTCTCACAGACGCTATTCTAGAGCTTTACATGTATTATCTTACCTAACAAACAGGAACAATGAGAGGCTGACATAGAATAGAATGTCCTGCTCCCTTCTTGGAGAGCACCGGAAGGAACAGCAGTGCCAAAGCCAGCCCTGGACACAGCCTGCAGTAGCTTTTGGCTCTCAGAGATTGAAGCAGATCTCCCTATGGAATGACCCACCCCTGAAATACTTCCAAGGGTCCCAAAGCCTGGGAGGAGGGCTGGGGCCTGCAGATGGCTAGCTGCCCTCCTCCACCTCACCTATGAACTCAGCAATCCTCCAGGCACCTTCAGATGTTCCCCAAGCGACCCCTCTCCATCCTGTTTCTGGATGCTAGAGTCTAGAGTGACAGCCGCAGACATACAGACCAACCATATCAGGGAGATTACTTCCGAAGACCTTTTCACTTGAATGTGGTGGGGGCCCATCGTTCTTTGGCAATAGGGATTGGCTTGGAGGTGAGGAAGGAGGAAGAAAGGCTCAGGGCTACAATTAGTCCATTGTTATTTCAAGATAACTCGCTATTTTATGGATTGTATTTATATAAGTATTTTACAGTTTACAGAATGCATTAAATATATTGAGCCCTTTTAATCCCCACAACATCATTAGGAGGGAAGCTCATTAGCTTCATTTTGCAGCTGAGGTCTGGTAACTCACCAAGGTCATGCAGGTTGACCCAGGGCTCAAAACCAGGCCTTCTGGCTCTGGGATCACTGTTTCCCATTGACACCTCACACATGGGTGGATAGAAGCTTGCGGCAGAAAGAGTGAATGAATGATTCTCTCTCCCTAGCTAGATACTACAGAGGCGATAGAGGTAAATAATATTTGGTTTCAAAGAAATCGAAAGTAACTATTCCCCTCTTCTCTCTCCTCTCGCCCACCCCCACAACCACAATGTAGCAGATAAGGTTGGTGGGCACCTATTGCTGGTTTTACAAAAATAGATGAATTGCTTTTCAAACAGCATCAGTGATACTCAAAAGCCAACAAAAGGCTAGGTCTCCCAGAGCGTACTTCCAGGGGCCAAAGTGTGTCTTCTTTTGCATTCCATGGAAGTTCTAACTTTTAATTCATGCCACTAAGGAGACATTTGATTGTTTTCTAGAAATGCTAATATTGCAAGACTCATAAATACTAATGAAACACTATAGATTGGCAGAGCTCAGCGAGTAACCTAGGGGGTGCCTATAAAAGAATTCTTAGATTAAAAAACATAAAGAATATCTTTTAATCGAATTTTCCCCAGACTGCTTTCCCAAATGTTAATGAATACTCTTTGGCCGTATGGAGGGCCGCCTCAAATAAGTCCCTTGAGGAATCTAAAAGTGAATTATTGACTTAGCTTTAGCTTGAAAAGAAATCTATTTATTCAAAGGCCATTTTAGGTGCCAAGGGATGGATGAGTTTAAGACAAAGGTTGGAAGGAGTGGGAGGGCCCAATACATTGAGATAAACATACAATTCAAATGCATGCTTCTATCTCATACTACTAAGCAATCTAGGTTGGAATTTGCTTATTATACTTGGCTTTTATGACCTGATCTTTCAATAGTACTAACTCCCCTGGAATGGACAAGGCTCAGAAACCATATCTTTCTCATTCACTCTTGAATCCTCAACACCCAACAGTGTGCGAAACATATTAGGTGCTCAGTGAATGTTTGATAAACGGATAAAGAGATTTAAAGAGCTTTCTTAACACATTTGCCAGAGTTCTTAAGATCCTGCCATCTTTTCCTGAAAGGCAGCTCTGATCACAACATTCTCCTGTTGTGATCAAAGTCCCCAAATAAGCGCAAACCCTATGAGGGCCTCTCTACCCTAGCTGCACCTCCCTTTTTAGCTTCCCTTCCCGTCCTCTCTTCTCCCACATTGAGCCCCAGACTCACCAGAAGACCTCCTGTTCTCTTGCTCATGTTCTAGAAGTTTCTCTGCCTGGAATGTTTGCACATCCTTTTCACCCATATTTCTCTGTCAAAATACTACATGTCTTAAAGGTCCTTCCCAAGTGGCTCCACCTTCATGAAAACTGGCCTGATGTTCTCCGTGAGCTCGCCCTCCATCCTCAGTGGCTGAACCCAGAGGGGCCCCTGATGCTTGTCTGCTCCCTGCAGGATCAACATGACCGCTGGCACAGAATAGTTGGTGAACAGTTGTGGTGGCAGTGTTGTCTAATGTGAATCAGGAAAGCTGTGAGTAGGATCAAATTAAAGAAAAGCACCCAAAGCCTTCCCAAAACAGAGCAGAAAGATTCCAGCAGACAGGGCCAAAAAGCCACCGAAGGCCAAGGTAAAAGTAAAGGTCATGGCAAAGGGAGAAGGAAAACCCAGAAGAGAGATGAGTGGCTTGAGGTGGTCACTGGGGCTTAGAAGCATGCCAGAGGCTGCTTTTCTCTGCAGAGAGCCTGGCAGCTTGATGGTGTGTGGGAAGATCCATGGCATGGGCTGTTCAGAGGGGCTTGGGCCGAGCTTTGGACGAGAGGACATACCTCTCCTCCTCTCGTCAAAGTATCCAATGACTCAGGATACTTTTCTTTGTTGCATGTTGAGTTTAAGTTCGGGCAGCCATATGCTTTCTATAAACCTGGACTTGGGCAGGACATGGTTTTTATTTTATGTATCTTCATGCATTTGGGAAATATCTAACAATAAGAAATAAATCTCTTTGCAGTCTTTCCTACAAATGGGGTAAGCATTTAAGTCAATCTGGGGAACAGCCAAATATTGTAAGAGTCTGTAAATCCTGGGCTGCTTGCCAAAAACGGGTTAATTCCACACAAAGGAATAGGAGGCTACAGAGCAACACCTGTGAACAGCTCACTCCTTGGGGATCTGGAGCCAAACTCCCCAGACTGAGTGAGCCCAGCTCTGCCACTCACTCACCATGTGGCCTGTGCCTCCACGTCTTCAGCTGCAGGATGGGGGAATCACAGTACCTACTTCCTAAGGGTGTCTCGAAGATTAATGAGTGAATAGAGTGCTGAGAACAGTGCCTGGTGCACAATTAGGGCTTACTAAAAGTTCGCTAAAATTATTATTGTCATCCTATGGCATTTTTCCAGACTCTATGGACCAAATGGCTCAGTAGTAGGTGCCAATTTGTGCACTTGCAAAAACTGTGTAAATAACGCCACGAGAGGGTGGGATACATGCCAGCAGACAAGGACTCGGGTCAGCTGGGGCTTAGATGGGCACATGGGCCCTGGGATCATGAGACATTGATAGAGCATGCTATCCAAGGAATTAGACGTCTGAGGACAATTGCTGGGGCATCATGTAGAAAACATCACCCAGGAGGGCTGCACATGCATGCACTGAAGCCTGAGCTGACCTTGAATTCCAGGCTTTGGTCCCCCAGTGTTCCCATCCTAGACACAGCACCATCCTGTTGCTCACTCAAAAGATTAAATGCACATGAATGATTAGAAAAGTATCAAGTGAAATGCAAGTACAAAGTGACATCATCATCATTCTTAGTTCCTCTGCTTGCCTGGCAGCCTAGAGGGAGTGCTGAGCCCACTGGCCAGAGGTCTGGGTGGCCCTGTGTGGCCTGGATGGCTCTGTGTAGCCTCAGACATGTTACCTCACTGATCTGGACCTCAGATTCTTCATCCTTCAGTGAGAGAGTTGGTTGGGATGATCTCTAGAGTGTCTGTCCTGAAAATCAACAACTCCTTGACATTTGGGTCCTGGGCAATGTCTTGCACCAACAGGCGTCTTAAATTTCCTTGAATTATGCCTGTCCTTGAAGTCTTGTTTGTACACAAGAACCTATAATTCCAGAACTGAAGGCAGCCTCTAAGACCTTATACTTGAGAGCTGAGCTTTAAGTTATATGTAGAGGGGTGACCAGGGAGGGGGGTCCGCTCTGTATAAGCAACCAGGAAAATGGCCCCAGCTATATGCTGAGTTCAGGACAGGAGCAGGGAGGCATCCAGGAAGCTCACCCTGGTTTCTAAGCATCATCACTAAGCAGCCTGCAAGGACTCCTCTCTCACGGAGAAGAAAGAGAGCAGGAGACTTTGGAGTATGTAGTCAAGAGATAGAAAACAGGGACGAGGCTAATGAGGGAGAGGAAGGTAGAAAGTGGAAAGCCAGCAAATGGTCACCCCTGGTTCTCCCAGCCTTGGGAGGAGAGGACTTGTCAGGCACAGGAATGGGATGTAAGGAGGGGTGGAGACACGGAGCAGGGAAGAGAGCATGAGGGGACAGCAAGGAAAGCAGGGTGGGATAGGATGAAGACTGATGATCTCTTAGCCCAGACAGCAAGACGTAGACATCTCATCTTGTGATTAAGCTTCAATAAGCATTGAAAACGGCAAGTGATGTTAATAAAAGGTCACATACAGAACTGTCCTGTGGGGAGTGTGTTCAACACCTGTCAAGTGAGCTGCAGTGGAAAAAAGATTCAGAACTGCTGTTGCAGAGGAGTCCAGGGAAGTAACCCCTCATCAGAACACCAAACACACACATTGATTCATTTATCCAACAACTGCTGAGAACTTTCTATGTGCCGGACCTGATATACTATTCATTTTTATATCCTAAGCCCAATATAATGTGTGTACATAGCAAGAATTAGTTGATGCCTATTGATTGCATGCATGTATTTATCTTGTTTATTGAGTCTCGATACAAGTTTACTGAACTCTGGAAATGTTCAATTCCTTCCCCTTTCCTAAGCCCAAAATCTATGATACTATTAAAATTTGTAGACCAGTCTCTCTGCATTTCTCTTCAGTTGTCTGTTTTAATCTCTTCAGGTGCTGTCGGTGGCATGCCCAAACCCAAAGCTGGAAGAGGAATAAATTACAAGTGGTCAAGGTTGCATCCTTTGGAACCCAGGACCTGCTAGTGAGCCAAGGGGGCTCTCTGTGCGAATCTAGCCAAGCACCATGGAGAGAATCAGCGCCTTCTTCAGCTCTATGTGGGACACCATCTTGGCCAAACACCAAGAAGGCATCTACAACACCATCTGCCTGGGAGTCCTCCTGGGCCTGCCACTATTGGTGATCATCACACTCCTTTTCATCTGTTGCCATTGGTGCTGTAGCCGAACAGGCAAGAGGGGCCAGGAGCCGGAGCAGAACAAGAAGAAGAAGAAGAAGAAGAAGAAGGATGAAGAAGACCTCTGGATCTCTGCTCAACCCAAGCTTCTCCAGATGGAGAAGAGACCATCACTGCCTGTTTAGTTAGGCAGGAAGCAAAGGTGTCTCCTCTCTGGGGCTAAGCCTCCTTCTGACCACACACAGATATTTCAGGAACCCATGAAATGATGCATTTAGGTCCACTTAGGTAACTACTCAACCAAGGAACAAACCTCAGACTAAGTGTCCATTGGACGGCAATCCCAGGGGGCAGGTGGACAATTCTTGGGTACTGCTTGGCAGCTATGTGTCCAATAGCAGTGCTCCTTACTGCAGACCCAGGGATGACTCCTACCTGTCTCTGACATACCCCATATGCAAAAGCACAAAGAACATTTATCCATACATCTCGATATGGTTCCTAAGTGTGTGCACATGTACATAACGCACACAGAAATTCAGGCAACAGGTACATGGACAAGTATATTCTGCTCACTAAATGGTTATTGGCTATGTACTTTGTGCAGGGAAGTACATTATCTACAGTCACAAAAATGTCTCACGGGGAAGCCTAGCCAGATTCAGACACATATATACAATTACATAACCAGCAAGGCTCCCCATACACCGTCTATTCCATAAACCACTCAGGTTAGAGATGCATGCTTTCCTATTTCTATCTCTACAAATGAACTTTTACTACAAGTACCCATAATTGGACATTCCAGCAACCTGCTACAGTCCCCACCCCTGCGCATCTTGATACAAACACACCAAATTCCTGTGTCTCTGACCCCTCAACTGTGCCAAGATGTTTAAAGAGTGATGGATCAAAATTCATCGAAAGCACTTTTTCTTGTAATTCCTGACAAGGTCCGTCCTCATTGCCACTGAGAGGTGTTTAAGGTGGTCCAAGACCTCTCTTTGAAACATGACCCTCCCCAAACCACTCAGCAAAGTGCCTTTCTCCAAGCAAGAACAAAGAGCACTTGGTAGTGACTGCTAGAAAGCTATGGAAGCCCACTCAGTTATGTCAGTGGACTGCAATTGTGTACCTGTGCAATGAATGTTTTACAGATGGAAAGGGTAAGGAGGTGCTACACCTGAGCTAGGTACCTTCTGTATGACCAGAGTTGCCAGCAGGGAAAGGACTAGACAATCATCAGTACAGTCTCACAGAAGGCCACACTGGAAGTGATGTCATAAGGTGGTAATGGGTGTATGGTATGGCACAGGTGGAATGCAGAGGTAACGAAGCTTCAATGAAAGTAGGATGAAACCATAAAGAGGTTTATTTATATTTATCTTGAAGCTCAGGCAAGTGCCTTGCACACAGTAGGTTCATAGAACTGTCTGTGGTTACTGTTGGACATGTGATGTTGTTAAGGGTAAGCTTGTAATACCTCACCAACTCTCCCCAAGTGACCTTCTCTTCTAAGTGAGCCCACTAATTGCTGCAATGGATGAAATCGGGTGTTTAAGGCTGCAAGAGAGTGCATGTAGGCAACACGTGTGCCCTGAGGTATGTGAGGACGTGTCAATTAGATCCACAGTGAGCTGAGGAGGGCTTTCCCTGCCAGACCGAGGTTGGGAAGCAGAGTTAATCCACTTACAGGATGAACTGGTTGGTATTTTGACTGTATTGTGACTATGGCAAAGATGGACAGTTCACACCTTGGGAGCAAGTTGTGTTCTAAAAGTTTATTTGCAAATATACTAGGAAGCTCTCTTGAAATATTTTCCCAAGGAAGCTACTCTACACAGTGGCAAAATCACTAATTAATAATATAGGTAAACTATGACATTTATAGTAGCAAAAAACTAAATTCTATAAAATTACATTAAATGAAATTTGCTGCTGAGTAAATGAAAGCAAATACTGTTGGCTCACTTGGGCCATCTGGTACTCACCTGCCCTCCAGGTGTACTTAGGCCTGTGGAGGGTGGCATCTAGTGGTGACCCTTGCACCAGGGTTTTCTAACAGATGACCCTGTGAATCATAATTCAGACCTGCATATATTTTAGAGCCAGTCACATTTGCCCTCTCACTCTATATGGCCATAAACTGCCTAAGCACTCAGGCCTCCTACTCATCAACCCCTTTGACCAGAGAAAGAAGCAGTCTGGTTCTCTATCCCTTTGTCACAGAGAGAGTTTGTCATGGAGCCTCTGCCTGTGCCCTTCACATAGCAGAATCACTGTCATCTGCCTGCACCAAACCCAGATATGTGGGAGATGTCTCCCCACACCTCCCACTGCCCACCAGGACAAGCTGCCCTTCCTGTCTCCACCTCTCAGTCCCCGTAATATGGGTGGCCAGGGAGATGTGGAGGCTGACAGCTGAGACGTGGTGTCAGATGTGATCTAGGAGGGAGGATCGCCGGGATCCGGGACCACACAAGTAACATGGTTTCCATGGCAACTGCTTGCTCCTTTGAATTAAGACAGCAGTCAGTTGTCATTGCCATGACAAGGCCTCTATCTCCAGGCACAGTGTCCCTGATGTCTCCTAATCCAACGGACTGGCTCTCACTGCAGGCATAAAACACCCAGAAACTCACTCTCAGTCACTTCCACAGCCGATGACTCAGAAGAAGCAAACCCAGAATGGGGCTTCTCTTTTCCCCACCACAACCACCCTGACAACCTTTCCTGGCATACCTAGAGGAGTGCCAATGCAGGATAGGCCCGAAAATTTTTGTTAAATAAACAGGTGCATGAAAGGAGCGAACAAACAAGGCGATTGTTGGTGTCCACTCTCTCCTTTCCACTTCCTTCTCATCTTTCCATGTTTTATGCTTCTCTGATTCCCTCTTCTGCCTGTACCAGGCAGCCCCAGCCCTTTATTCTTCTCCATTTTCACTCCTTCCAGCCTCTGTCCCTGAACTGCCACTGGCAACCCACGGGACCTCAGGACCAGAGACTGCTAGACTCATCTGGGGAGGTTAAGTTCATGGGGGACAAAAAAGGGATTCATAAGGAAGAGGCTTCCTAGACCAGCACAGGCTCAAGAAAGGGATCCCCTAGGCCTGGACTTCTGAGCACCTTCAGCCAGGTTCCAGCCAACAGCCAGAGAAGGCCTTTCCCCATCACTCAGTGGGTTCCATGTTTTTATTTCTTGGGAGAAGCAGAGAGGGAGAAAGGTAGAAAAAGGGCAGTCGCCTTTCCAAGAAGAATATAACTGGTCCAAGCTGTATAGTATTTGTCAGTATTTTTTTCTGTAAAGTTCAAGCACACACAAAAGAAAAACTTATTTAAATAAAATACTTTGGAAATGAAAATCTTGCTGGAGTCGGTTACTTTCTTAACATTAGGTATTACCCCTGCTCAGACATCACTCAGAAATGATGGATACAGGGACTCTTTCTGTGACACATATGTCCCAGCCCTCGTCAGTCACTGCCTTTGCCACAATAGAGTCATATGTCTGAGGACCAAGAATGTGGCTGTCTCACCCGTTTGCAAAACAGATGGCCTCAGAGACCAGACTCCCTCAGAGGTGCCAGCTACAGGAAAAATACGGTGATGTTCCTTGGCAACACTTAGAGAACTTTCCGTCAATGAGGTCCATCAATGTCTTCTTAAAGGAAAAGGGGGGAAATAGCAAAAACCTAAGGAAAAATGGACCTTTGTGTTAAATTCAGTGTTGGGAAAGGAGGGATCAAAAACCTCCAGAGTAGCCACTAGAGCTAAAAATGTATGTATATGTGTGTGTGCATACACTGTTCAATATGGTACCATTAGCCACACGTGACTATTTAAATTCATTGAAATGAAATTAAAGGTGCACTAGCTCAGCTATGTCTGCCATATTTCTTTTTTCTTTTTTTTTTTTTTTTTTTTTTGAGACCGAGTCTTGCTCTGTCACCCAGGCTGGAGTGCAGTGGTATGATCTTGGCTCACTGCAACCTCCACTTCCCAAGTTCAAGCAGTTATCATGCCTCAGCCACCTGAGTAGCTGGGATGAGAGGCATGCGCCACCACCCCCAGCTAATTATTTTTGTATTTTAGTAGAGACGGAGTTTCACCATACTGGCCAGGCTGGTCTTGAACTCCTGGCCTCAAGTGATCTGCCTGCCTCAGCCTCCCGAAGTGCTGGGATTATAGGCATGGGCAACTGCGCCTGACCCTGCCAGCCACATTTCAAGTGCTCAGTAGACACACGTGGCTAGCAGCTACCATCCTGGGCAGCATAGGTCCGTGAGCTTATTGGGGACAGGCTGTGTCAAACACGTGGGCAAAACACCCACGCTGACTGGATTTCAAGGAGGGCTTAGGAAGAAAGGCCTAGAGCACAGGTGGACTCTCTGCCTTATCTCCTCCAAGGCAGGCTATGTCTGCAGTTCCAGATGAGTTCATTCCTGGGCTCCCTTCCCCATCACCATACACTCATGACAACCAGAGAACAGAGACTCTTCATTCAGCTCCCTGTTCAACCATTCAGGACATTGCTAAACTTTCCAGTGCAGAGGAGGAACTGCTGCTCAGAAACCATCTGGGAGGAGAGCAGCTGCTGCACACCTGAGGGGATGCCAGTGCTCAGTGCCCTCAGCTGCACCCACCCCGGCTCCATCCCAGCCTTGGGGTGTAATATGAATTTGGACAATGCCATCTCGCCGTTAGCATTCTCAACTCACCACAGCACTCTGCACTGGCCCCTTGCCCTTTGACCTTAGAACTATTCCCCAATTCAAAGTCACAGGATTACAAGACTGAAAAATAAATCCCTTCAACTGGCTTTCTGTCTGCGATAGACTTAAAGGGATGTTTTCAAACACCTGTGTGGGCAATGCCACGCTATATTTATTCAGGAATGACTGTGATTGTGTACCTCCAGCCCTCTCTTGAGGCTGTTTATTCCATTAACATTTCTGACTGTTGACTATATGTCACACACCTTAGGTGCCAGTGATACTAAGTTGTTCTGGAGGGGTTCAGAGCCTGATAGGGAGGACACAAACAAGCAAACAGACCGTTACAAGACAGTGTGGCCACTGCCGCTTAGAGGGACGCTCCCAGGCTGACTTCAGGACAGGACAGGGGAGCTCACCCAGGAGCTGTCCAGAGACTTGCACAGGAAGAAACAGAAAGGAGGGCCCCGTGTGTAGTCTACAAAGTGTAAGTGCACCCCACAGTAGTGATGCGGGCGGACAGACTGATGGGGACCATTCAGAAATCATCAGGGCTCTTGGAGGCCATGATGCAGGGGGCTAGGGCTCAGGACCAGGGTTGTCCCAACCCTGATGCTAACTCCAACTCTCACTAGTTACATCATTTGGACCCATGGCTTAATCTGTCTGCAAGACTTACCTGCTAAATAAAGCTAATGAGAGTAGCTACCTCATAGGGAGCACTAAATGATCACGTGTATAAAGCATTTAGCACAGGACCTGGCTTATATTAAGTGCCCAATAAATGTTATTTACTATTAAGGGTTGAAAAGAAATCATGAGAGAGCTGTGTCCTAGGAGTCAAAGGAAAAGAAATTTCCAAGAAGAAAGCAACAGTCCATAGAGGCAAATGATCCAGGCAAGACGAATGAGATGGGGATTGAAAATACAGATAATTGCATTTTCTATTCCCCATGGTTCCCCATGATGTGTTCCCTAATTTCACCATGTACTGCACTACCTACAGGATTACCAATACTCCGTGAATTAAGGTCTCCAGATTCACAGTATATGACAGGCAAGGTTGCCTAATTATCTGTCCCGCCTCTGCCCACAACCAAGTCGCCCTAGCATGACAGTGCCACCTGGTGGCCAGATCAGGAGAGAGCGTGAGCCAACATCGTTTTCACCTTATAAGTGTTTCCTGTAGAACGCCCATCCAGCTAGTTCACCTGTTCTCAAATTTACAAAAAAGTCTCCAGGTTTTATGTGAAATTCACAAGTCCATCAGGGTTCAGAATGCTGTGCTCATTTGACATATGGGGGATTTCCACAAATCCTAAGCCTCAATTGTCACAAACATTTTGGTGAAGTGTTCCATATGCCACCGCTCCCTACAGTAAAGCTTCCCTAACCACAAAAGTCCTCCCCGTTGCAGTAAGACCGGATCACATTGTAATTGTGTGTCCCTTCTATTCCCAACGCCCCACCCCTATTTTGACCCCCATTAGAATTAGCCTTTATGAAGTTAGAATTAGAACTGTCTTATTCACTGCTGTATCTTCAACACCTAGCATGGAGCCTGGCACATACTATATGCTAAATAAATGTGTCAATTGGGGGGAAAAATAATCACTGACATGTTTTTCAGAAATGCTAATTACCTGTCTCCCCCTGCCCTTCTGGCTGATTATTAAGTCTAGGGTGATGCCAGACAACCTGCTTTAATAAGCACTAGGTAAACGCAGGTGGTCTCTGAACCACACTGTGAGAAATACTATCTAGATATTCAGAGCAACAAAAGAATTGTGTACAGTCAAATAAGTTTCCGGACAGTGCACAGCATAACTTTCCCACTTCACCCCCTTGGGATCTGCAATTGCATTATCACATTAACGTTTCTAACAAGTATGATAATAAATAAATTGGTTTAACTCCACTTAAAATCTTCTGAAATTTATTTAGCCATAAACCTCGTTTTATTTTAGCACATCTGGAGGAACAAAGATTCCAAGAGGGCACCACTTGGGAAATGCTGCCATGGAGGGCTAGTGCGCACCCCACACGTCCCCTGCTCCCGACTCCCGCGGAGGGCTAGTGCGCACCCCACACGTCCCCTGCTCCCGACTCCCGCGGAGGGCTAGTGCGCACCCCACACGTCCCCTGCTCCCGACTCCCGTGGAGGGCTAGTGTGCCTTCCATGTGTCCTCTACTCCTGATTTCCACTATTGACAGCTCAGTCAATGTCATCTCCAAAGGAAACTTTCTGCAATGTACACAGATTCTCACTAACCTTTATGAACCTTTCTCTTTTACTCGTCCCTTCCTCTTTCTTCCATTTGCAACCCATAATAGTCCTGTTGGTGGCTATTCATAGCAAACGTGCTTTAGATCTACTAGAGAGACATCTCTATCAAAAGGAAAAAGAGAAAAAGTTTTAAGTCAAAAAATGAAGACCCATCCAAGCCCACTATTTTACCATTCCAGGGTGCCTTCATACATAAAAACCACTTTCATTATTTCACTTGATTCTCACTTTATAAATGAAGAAAATGAGGCCCGGAGAAGGTAAGCCAGCTTACCCTAAACTGGAATGGAAACCCAAGGCTTCAGACTCCTACCCCAGTGTTTCTTCTGCCAACCAGGCATCGAGATCCAGGCCAATCTGATCTTGGCTCCTCAAAGACCGTTGAACTGGTAACAGCACCTCCCTTGAGTTGGAAATTATTGAACACAATCAAGGGTCTGCCCATAAGCCTTTAAAGTGCCCAAATGTCTCCTTTGGATGTCCTGCAGCAAGCCTCATCCGCCTCCTTCTCCTTCTCTAATTAAACCTAAATTTGTTCACTCATCAAAATAAAAATCTTTTCCATTCCATCTGGTTTCCTTCTTTTATTTAGATGACTATACTGTAATACTATTGTTTTCTATTTTTCATTATACATACACTGCCACTCATCTATATTATAAACAGGATTTATGGGCTAGCCTGACAACCTAACTTCTTTCTATAACATTAGAATTGGAACTCAAATCATTTTACCCACAGAAACAGCCAACTGGCAGAAAGAATTGGAGAAGTAAATTCATTTGCAAATCAGGAGCTGTCTGAAGTCCCTCCCAGGGGTGCCTCTCCTTCACCTTTCATCAGGCCGACACCCTCCGTCCGCCTTTCCTCCCCAGCAGCCCAGTACGCCAGGTCTGGGGATGCAGTCCAGTCTCACCAGGCAATCTCAAGGTTATTCCCAGTTATTTTTTTGCACATTAGTCCAGCAAGAACGCTGCCTAAGAAACCACCAAGTGCAGGCTCAATGCTAAGCAGGACCTCACCGACTGACTCTCCATATAGTATCACCCAAGAAAGAAGTGGGGACCTAGCCCGCAGAACTCCCCTTTATGGAAAAGCGGCGCTGAAATGAGAGGCTCCCGACAGGACAACACTGCCATCTCCTGGCCATGCTGAATATAGCAAGCCTTTTGCACTAAGCTGCGGTCCCAACCGTATTGATTAGTTCCGTATTGACATGAACTCCCTCCTGATCCCCTCCACCACCCTAGCAAAGTGCTTAAGGTAATGACTTGGAAAAAAAAAAAATTTAAGATGGAGTCTCGCTCTTGTTGCCGAGGCTGGAGTGCAATGGTGCAATCTCAGCTCTTTGCAACCTCTGCCTCCTGGATTCAAGCGATTCTCCTGACTCAGCCTCCCGAGTAGCTGGGATTAGTGGAGGGCCTTTTCCATCAACTGGCTAAATTTCACTAAGAGTTTCTCTCTGTTATACTTGTTTTTCTTCTGCCACGCCGTCCCTTCATCTGCATGTCCCCTGTCCACAGCTCTTCACACACCGCACCTGGCCTCTATCCTTCCTTGATCACAACTTCTGGAGGCATTTTCTATCTTTCTCCCCAGCTCCTTCAGCATTTCCTGGCTTTAATCATCTTTAAATCTCTGAGAATTCAAAGTTTAAATGCAGAGCTTTTGATCTCATTTGACAAACATAAAATCTGGGACCCTATTCCCAGAGGAAGCCACGGTCAGGAACAAATAGCTCTAAGCTCTGAGAAAGGACCCATCTCTTGCTTGCCCCACCCTTCCTCCTCAAAGCCCACCGTTCCTTCTTCCTGGATACCTCGCTAACCTGGGCCCTCCTCCCCTTCTCCACCATTTCTGCCACAAGCCAAGGAAGTCATGACCTCTTGCCTGAACTACCATAGTAGCCCTCAACTGGGCTGTGAGTCCCTATCCTGCCTCCAAAACCTCCCTCAACACCCTCAGCCCCATTCTCTATCCTATCACCAGACTGACATTTCCAAAACACAAGTCTGACCTTGTCACCCTTAGGTTTAAAACCTGTGTGTTCCCCACTATCCACGTGCTTTCATCGGAGCAGGGGCTCTCAACCGTGGTCCATGTTGGAATCCTTGGGGGCACTTTAGGAAGCCCCTGAGACCCACTGGAGCAGAGCCCATGGAGGGGAGGGGGCTTCTGTACCTGTGGAGGCCCCCTGCCGACCCTGACACTAAGAACCACAGTATTGGCCTGGCAAAGGAAGAATCCCCATCCATCTCACCAGCCTGGCTCCCCACCAAGCTCTCCTCCCCCGAGTAAGAAACCACTTTGTCCCTCAAACATGCCACACTCTACCCTTTCTCTTCCTTGCAGCCGAGTCTCCTACACCCGATGGGCCCCACGTCCCCCCAGGCTTCTGGTTTCACCCACACCCCAGAACTCATCCTTCCAGACCTAAAGCTGATATCGCACCCCCATGAAGCTCTCTCCCTCAGCACCCCGGCAGGATGAGCCACCCCCATTCTGCCCTCAGTGTCCAGTCCACCTCCCTACAGACTCACTGTCCCAGGTTTGTGTCCACGGCTGTCTCTGCCACCACTCCAAGAGCTGCTTGAGGGCCGCGTTTGTGTTCTGCTCATCACTGTCTTGCTCGTGTCCTGCATAAAAGGAAACACTTTGGAAACTCAACCACACACTGCCAAGACTTCTGTCTTCACATCTAGCCCAGGGCCTGGCTTGTAGCCTGTCCCCTCTATGAAAGATTTTGTTTAGTTTGTCCTGAAGGGTAGAAATCGTCCCTGAAAGCTTCAAAACCTTGATGGCTCATGACCTGGCTGTAAGAAAATTGTCGGACTCTAAAAAGCAGGTCTAACCAGAAACCCATTCCATAGGCCCGTATTCAGCCACCAGATCAGAAGTTGTGAGCACTTGGTCATGTTAATATGAGGTTAGGTATGGAAGTTTCCAGTTGGAATGCTTCCCTCAGTCAGACAAATACCCTTTGAAAATGAGTATCTTCTACCTTCCTTCCTGGTCCCCAGCAGAACCTCTGAAGGGTCAGCCGAGGTTTCCTTCACCGCCTCCTTTGTGCGCCATGGGTCCTACAGGCAAAAGAATGTAAAAACTAGCTCCTGTTTTCCAGAAGTCCCCCTCTTGGCCAGTGGTGGAGAAACCCTGGAGCCAATGAACGTGGAGGGGGGTATGTGTTTTGTAATTTGCCACCATCACAGATTCCTCCTGAGCAAAAAGACCATCGGCATCCCCCACCCCCACCCATGCCAGAGCTACTGAGAGTGGACTGAACTACTCAGAGTGGACTCCACTCCAACAGCAGCCTTTGGTCCAGACCTACTTAACCAGAATGTCTGGGGAAGGGACCCTGCGATCTCTGTGTCAACAAGCGTGTTCAAAGTTGAGAAGCATTTCCTACCAACCACCATCCTTGGCTCGAAGTCAGTCTCTGGGATTTGATCCATTTTGCAAAGGACACACTTTTCTGAAAAGCCTGGACCACTGTGATAAGGCCAAAGCTTCGGAATCCCAAAGGTGATGGGAAATCCCACATGCAAACAGGGTCACGGAAGAGCAGAAGGGAAGTCCAGCCAGGTGCAGCGGTGAGCACCTGTAGCGCCAGCTACTTCCTGAGTCGAGGCTGGAGGATCACTTGAGGCCAGGAGTTCAAGACCAGCCTGGGCAACATAGCTAGAGCCTCATATATACTTGAGTGTGATGGCACTCACCTGCAGTCCCAGCTACTTGGGAGGCTGAGGCAGGAGGATTGCTTGGGTCCAGGAGTTCAAGGTCACAGTGAGCTATGATCCCACCATTGGACTCGCCTTTTTTTATTCCCTTTGTTCTTCCTCACAACACTAGAAATTAAAAGGGAGACATTTACACTGTTTTCCTCACACAGCCTGGGCGACGGTGAGACTCTATTTCTATTAAATAAAACAATAAAAACTACAAAAATGTTTCTGAAAGACGAGAATTTGAGAAGAAGACTTGGAACTGGGATGTTGTGCAGATAGAACTTTAAAACAGATAAGGAGACTAAGCTGGGTAAGATCGCAAGACTCCATCTTTATAAAAAAGTTTTTAAAAATTAGCTGAGCACAGTAGCATGCGCCCATAGTCCCAGCCACTCAGGAGGCTGAAGCGGAAGGATGGCTGGAGCCCAGGAGTTCAAGGCTGCAGTTAGCCTTGGACATGCCACTACATGCCAGCCTGCATGACAGAGGGAGACCCCACTTAAAAAAAAAAGCCAGAAAAGGAAATTAGCTCAGGCTCAGATCCTGGCAAAGCTGGATCAAGATTAGAATATAAATCTGGTCAATCTCTGTAAACATCTCCTCCTCAGAGAGGCTCACAGTCCAACATCATGCAACATCTTCATCTTCTAATTCTATTTTTTCCTCCATGGCACTTCCCACTTCTTGTAACTACACATTTATTTGTTGTTTAATGTCAGCCTCCACCACGAGAATACTAGCACAAGGACAGGAATAGGATGTTTTGTCCCTGATTAACACCAGTGCTTAGAACAGAACTTGGCATGTAATAGGGCTTACTCTCTACTTGTTGAATGAGTGAATGTAAACGAATGAATGAATGACAGCATACAGGCTCGGTCAGTACAAGGACAGTGTCTGTCTCACTCACCTCTGTTTCCCCGGTGCCCAGAACACTGCCTGAAACAAAGCAGACAAATGCTTAATAAACTCTTGTTGAATCAATAACATACAAGCAGATTTTTTTCATCATTAGCATCAACACTAAAACTGTATTTCATTGAGACCACTCCTTATCAGAGCCAGCAGTTACCAAGGCATTGCTCAAGGTGTGTGTCTGGGGAAGGAAGGCAACAGAGGGGGCTGCTGAAGACTTTAAAGGTCGACAGAAACCGTTTCAGGAGTATAGCTTGACATTCACCCAGAGGCTGAAACCTGGAGACACCGAGGCAATGGACCGTACCCTGGCCCTGGAGGGGTGCTGCAGCTTTCAGAGCATTCACCCTCCTTTCCAGGCGCTCGCTTCTGCATTCGAAAAACTGTTATTTCCCATCATGCAAATAAGAGGCCACAGCCAACCAAAATCCATTACAACGCGCAAATTGTACCCACTCTCACTTAGGTTAAATTTAGAATTCAAGTGCACTTATGTGGAGGAAAATAACACAAAGCAATTTTTTTTTTAATCAAGTGGTTTATTTTTTTTCTTCTTCTTCTTCTTGAATAGGAATTTAAGTTATTTCATTGGTCACTGACTTTGCTACAGAAAACCCTCCAAAATGGCAGAAAATAAGCAAAAAGGATCTGACCTTGCCAAGTGTCCGATCAACAGTATGCCTCACAGTGCTGAGCACTCCCGGAAAACCCAGGACTCCAACATGCGGGGTGGGGAAAACAGGGAGTCGGAGGCCTGGTGGGCATGAAATGGGGTTGCAGAAGAGTCTTTGGGAGGAACCAATTATCAAGAGAGTCAAATTATTCAAAGTTGAAATGAGTGAGAATTTATTCACAACATATGCAGCTCTATGGACACAATTATGCAAATGATTGAAAAGAGGGCGCTTAAAAATAGCAGTAAGGCGGCAGCTTTGGTCTCTGGCATGCTGGATACTAGTTAGAACTTAGCTAAACGTGAGTCTTTCTTAGCCCCTTTGATTCCCTTTATTCTTCCCCATAACCCCAGGAATTAAAAGGGGGAGGTTCACACTGTTTTCCTCAAAACCCAGTGGGAAAGGAGGGTGGCAAAGGCCCGCAACCCCCGGGTCATCAGAACCCCTCCTCTGCTTCTTTCCAGAGAAAAGATTAGCATTAGCAGAGCTTTAAATAGATAGATGTAAATTTCCAGAGATTTCCAATTGGTGAAGTGCTGGGCGATTCCTTCTCTTGCCCTAATCCAGTATATTTGCAGCTGAAGATAAGCTGGGAAACCTCCCAGTTCCAGCACTGTCTTTCCCACTCATACTGCGCAACTGCTATTTTGATTTTCAAGGCCCTCATAAAGATGGGCAAAAATGCGGGTGAGAGGGAAGGAACCTCCATGGCTTGAAGCTTGGTGACATGATTTGTTCTGCGGGTTATCAGGTGACCCCAGAACCCAGAGGCTCTGAGCACTCCCAGCCCCAGTCACCACTGCCCACCCCACCCCGTGCTCCCACAGCTGGTGGGGTCTCCTGCGATGAACGCTCACACGGGCCATCAGAACGTTCGCACCCTTCCTCCCAGTGTCCGCTTCTTTCTGTCCAGGACAGGCTCGCTGCTGTAGCCACGAGGGCGGATTTTCAGCTCCACGTAAGGAATGGAGAATTCATGTCCTTTCCACGGCTCCCAGT